TTACACTATTTGAAAACTATTTGCTACAAACAAACAAGCTCCAGTGTGATTTTTGTTTCAACAGTAGAGCCGCCACACTTTCAATCCAGGTTACCTACAAAGCTTCAATACAATTTGATACACTTTTCTTTCTTTTTTTGCAAAAGCACTGCTTCAGAGTCTTGTGGTAGGTTTTTACATGAAAATGCACTTTATTATAATCCCTGTGATGCAGAAGGAGACACGATGAATGAGTTTTCCCATACTGACTCAACTCTACAAGCTCCATAGCACTGAGCATAGCGTAAGCCCAACGCTCAACCTCTTGCATCTATTCATGTTGACTTCTTGCCTTGCCCAGCACTGGTATAAGACAGCCTAGAAGAAAATGTGGCCCTCAGTCTTCACCTCTGACCAACATGCCTGTTGTTTTCGAGAGAACAGGGTTCAAATCCCCACATTTGTTTATCACAACACTCAGAATCTGGCTTTCTATGCACCTCGACTACCAAAATTGATCAGATTAATGACACTGCTTACCATTCTACACCAAGAGCAAGATTTTTCTGAGCTAAGCAATGAAAATGAAGAACCATGAAACAAGAAGCTGTCCTTCAAAGAAGAGCGCCAAACTATACCATTTCACTTGTATTAAATTATTTTTCAACTCATGAACCGTTTCTGGAATTCAAATGTCATCCGTACAACGTAATCAGGTAGAGGTGGACCAAATATTGCCTAATGACATCCAGAGGGAAATCATGCATGTGGGTCCAGAAAGTGAGACAAGACAAAAGGGCACCCTGGAGGACTCACATCCATGTATTTATCCCTTATCTCTCACACACAACCAAGGTGCTTCTGTACCTTGCAGGAAAAAAGGTCACCAAAGAATCACTCAGTATGCATTCCAACCATTTTTTGGAATAACAGTTCAATCCTCATGTGCACAATCAGAAGTCCTCAACGGACCTCACTTCCAGGTTAGTGGGGTTAGAACTGCAGCTTAAGGAGCTATTGTAGACTGCTCTCCACCCAACGCCATCTGGTCACTGCTGATCAAGGACTGGCAATGTGGTGACCTCCAGATGGACTCCAACTCCCATCAGCCCCAGCCAATATGGACAACAATCAGAGATAATGGGAGTTGTAGTGCAACGTCTGGAGTACAAAATGTTGGCTATCTTTAAGCAGGCTGATTTGGTATACAGGTGTACTTAGTGTTAAACAGCCTGTGCTAGTCTATTGGAGTCGCTCATCCACCCATCTCTATGTCTTTTTTCTTTTTCTGTAAAAGCAATTAATTTACTAGAGTGCTAGTTTTTTTTCTTCCTCAGCTGCCATGTGATCTCGGCAAAGTCTTGTAAGCCAAAGCAAATACAATCCCACTGATTAAATAGCGTAGCTGTTTATCAAGACAGCAAGTACGCCGTGTGTACTTATTGGTTACGCTCCTTTTTCAGTATCTCCCATCTGTACTTTTCTAACCTGCTCTGTAACTCAGATAGACCAGTTTCTGATGTGCACATCATATGGCAAGAAAAGGAAAGGAACCAGTTTATAAATGTTCTTTTTTTCTGACTGTCACCTGAAGGTTTTCATTCAGATTCAGCAAGTGGCCTCCCAACACAACACTTTAGCCCATTCAGGGCAGTCATCATGAGTCCTGAATGGCTCCTTAAAATGTTTTGGTGGGTGCTGCTGAATTAATATTGCAGTGTACAAAAATGTTTTAACATTGATAAATAGGAACATAAACAAACATATGATTTGTAGAACAACTGACGGCCCCCAAGCCAAATTCCAATGTATCTCAAGGAAGTATAATACCCCCCAAACAAATCCACATGTGAGGTGTCAGGAGAAGGGCACTGAAGGCTGCAGTCCTATAGCCACTTATCTGGGAACAAGCCACAGTAAACACAATGGGACTAACTTCTTCTGAGTAGACATGTTATGGATTGCTCTGTAATTAAGTCTGCCTCCTTAGATTAGTTTTTGTTTGAAAAACCTGTGGGATGTCTTTATCCACTCCAAGGGTGGGCATTTTCAAGGGAAGAGTAACCACAGCTCATGTGGCATGGAAGAGGAAAACAACATACATAAGAGGCAGATTTAAGTTCCAACTGAACATTTCCATTGTTTCCATGCTGCTCCTTTTGGTCTTCTGGTTGTTTCTGGAACACTATTTCCTTTCTGATTTTCTCACAATGTCATTTCAACTTATGGGCTCGGGTGATTTTGTTTCAATGTGTCTGTGGCATCATCATGTCAGAATACTATGGTGACGTCACATGGCTTACCACCACCAACCAGATTAAACAACTGGGTGGGCAAACAGGGTAAAATACAGTAGCCCCCTTCAGACATTCTAGCTCACTCTTGCAGTGACACAGGAGCAGGAACAGGCCAAGTAGTATCTCCCTCCTAATATGTGTTCTGGGAAGGCCCTCTCCCAACATCTGTGCAAACAGTGAGAACATCTGTAGATGTTTGTACATCCAGCTGTATGCACGGGGGGCACTTTCCCCACAGACATCTACTCTCTCTGTGTGGATGCCAGCAGACTGGCTTCTCAGTTTGCATCATGTTAGAGGCAGGGCTACTGAGTGCAGTCCTGCTCCTATGTTCTTCTATGCAGAAGCTAGAAGACCTGAAGAATGTGCTATAATGGGCACATTCCTGCACAGAAGCAGGAAAATGGTGCCCAGAAGAACAAATAAGTGTGTCTAAAGTTTCCAGAAATGGAAAGTGACTTTCTGCACTCAGGGATGAGGGTAAGAAATGAGTCATTTTTGCCCCACTCCTAAAGAAATGTGCATTTCCTCAACCAACCTGGCATTTATCTAACAGTCTTGTGTCAAGTCCAGGGACATGTGAATCCATTTCATTAGCCTGATATATATTGGGTGTAGAATCGACATGGGAAAGTAGCTTTAGATCATAACTCTACAGAAGAACGATGAAAATTCTGGCAGGCCCTGCTAAAATTGACTGCAATATCAGAGCGCATAAAAGCTCATAGAGATGGTTGCTCATTTGCTTTATAGGAGTCATAAAAACATTTCAGAGCTTGAAATGTAAGGGAATGAAAGCATTTCCTCGAGTAAAAGCAGAACCGACTGCAGTAAGAAATGAGGCAAAAAACCTCAATATTTGGATATAAAAATTCAGTTCCCTCTTAGATAAACATTTGCTTTAATGAAGATAGTTTTGCATTTATTAAATACAACATAAAGCACTTATGTACCATGATTCAATGATTTAACATTGCAAGAGAAGCACTTTAACCTATAGATAACTTTAATCAAGTATGTAGTTAATGGCTAAGAAAAAGCTCACAGCAACCTCCATTAAGCATTAAGGTATCAGCAAACTCTCAAGATACAGGGTTGAATCACACAACCATTTACTGCATAGTGGCCTCTGAAAACATTGTGCTGTGGTGCCTCTAACCACACTAATGAACTCATTTTCTGTTGCCCTCAGGCCAAGAATCACCCCACTCCTAAACATGGTAGAAAATTGAGAGAACTGGGTGTGTGGTGACAGCCAGTTTACTGTATAGCCTGAAACTACAAACAATAAGCTCTCCATGTGGTTTGTGAACTACTGAGGCCACCTCAGAACTCTATCCTGAGGACATGAAGATATGTTTTAGCCAATCTAGACATTACTTTCACCACAGCGGTCAATGTCCCAGTAGCAAATTTCCTACCTCCCAAATAAATGCTGTGAAGCATTTATTCACCACATGAAACAGGGCCACTGTGCATTACTCAAGGCCATGGTGGCAGCTGGCAGGGCTGTGCAATACACACACACACTCAACTCATGTGCTGAGCAATGCTTAGAAACAGACAAGGTGGGAAGTTTGCATAGGAATGACATTTTGCATACTGAAAGTAAGATCTTCACTATCTCAGAAATGCATCTCCATAGTCCTGCGGTGGCCAAAGTGTGGCTAGTGTAAAATTAATTCTGCAATTATTCATACAAGCATGGATATCCAGTTATGTGTTCTGTCTCTCTCCTCACAACACACCAGAAACCTAATATAGCACATCTATTACATTATAGGTTTGTTGGGGGGGTTAATTTCAGTTTTCTTACATGTGATACATAGCAACTAGTACAACCAACTTATTCTGTGTTATTAGAAAAGATATCAGTGAAAAAACATGAGTTACAGAAGGAAGAGGCCAAAATGCCATCTACTCCACCCACTGGCAGAAGAACAGGGGTGCGGGGGGAGCGCACCGCCTCCGGCAGAACAATCCTGATGAGGGGCCATCGCGGCTGGCCTCCCCCCCGCGCTGGGCACCACACCCCCACAGGCGGCATGCCATGCCCCCAGGACATGCGCTACAGCCCTGCAGGTGGCATGCCACACCCCTAGGATGCACGCCAGCCATGCCCCCACCTGTTCTCCGCTCCCCCCCCCTGCCGGAGCTTGAAGCTCCGCCACTGACTCCACCTCCCTGCATTTAGATGCTCTTCCCCACCCACAAGAGGTCAACTGCTGCAATTCAGACTAGTATGTGCCCCAGGTGAAGGTGAGACAGACACAACACAGAGGGACGACTCCAAACAAGTTCATAGGGAATGAACTTATACTCCACATTTGGGAATCCCAAAGTTAATACCACTATTGAAGAGGAACTTGCTTTGGCTGGATAACACACAAAATCCATTAGGAATCCAACTCTGCCTCCTTTGGGAGTTTTTGTTATTTCTCTTCCCTCAATAATAATTTAGAGCTGATTGATTTGAGGCAACAATCAAATATGAGACTCAGTTTCTCAGCCATAAAATAAACAACCACTTGATTATTCTTCAGTTAGGTCACAAACTGAGAGAAATGAATATATATCCTAACATTTCAATTACTGGATTGTTTGAATTTATATTCTTCTTGTTCTGTTTTTAGCATGGAACCACACCAACTGGGGGCAGGGGGTTGCGGTGAGGAGGAGGGAAGATTAGGAGATATATGAGTAATGCTTTAAAAAAGTTTTTACCTGAAGGCCTTCTATGGCTAATCGAAGCATACTTGGTGTCAGTTTAGAAGCCTGTTTGAAAGTGAAGTTGCTCCAGTCTATAATCAAAACAAATCCATTTACTTGAAGTTCAGGATCCTCAATCATGGCTTCTAAGGAAAGAAGTATGGCACGCAAAATATCCACCAGTGTGTACCTGCCAACAAAGACAAGATCGTATTAAGCTAGCTAACAATATTCCGATGCTAGAAGAAAAGATATTATTTGCAATCTGCTGTCAAAGTATCCATTTTGCACATGATAAAGTATGGCAATCACAGTTTCACTATACGTGGTCAGATAAATACACAAACCTTTATGATTGGGGTGACACTGCAACACAGCAGTATTTGTATGAAACATGAAACTATGTGGCTGAGTCTCAATGAGTCCGAGTGAAGTGTCAGGTTTGTACACTGCCACCCCCCTTCTTAGTTTATAGTTTCAGTTTTAAAGAGTCTGATCTTAGTCTTACTTGGCTTGCAACAAACTTTGCCTAGCTTAATAATAGCCCACGCTTTGAAGTTGGCTTCTTGTAAACTGGCTAGAATATACTGTATTTTAAATTAGGATTCCTGGCTGGTACATAACACTAAGGCAAGAATTTTTAAATATGAAACTAAACTTAGCACAATTCCTTACTCCAGTTTCAGAGGAGGCAGAGGGGGAAGAGAGGGGAGAGTCTGCAAGCCCAGCACTTTGTTCAGGCTCATTGAGCCTCATCCACATAGGAAGGTGTTTACACCTAGTCAGACCATTGGCCTAGCTTAGTACTAGGTTCAAGGGTCTGGAAACCAGGGCTCCCCAGATGCAATTGGACTTCGCTCCCATCAGCCACAGCCAGCTGGCCAACTATCAGGGATGGTGCAAACAATATCCAGAGGTTTCCCATCCCTTTCTCATCCATACTGACTGGCAGTGGCTCTCAAGGATTTGGGGAAGGAATCTTTCCCAACCTACTTGGAGATGCCAGGGATTGAATCTGGAATTCTTTGCATGCAAAGTGTATGCGCTACCACTGAGCTATGTTCCTTCAGTATGTTTCTCTATGCCTCTCCATGATTTACCTACTGTGGAATTTTCATTAGCTAGCTAGCAAGAGAGAGTAGCAATACTGGCTGCAGTCCTGCTCCCTGTTGAGTTGCTTAAAGCTCATGGAAGTCAATTGGATTCTTGAAGCGTAACTGTTTTCAGGTTTGGAGCCATTAACTTTAAAAAGAACGGAGCATTTAAAGAACCTGTTCATCCAGAAAGACCTATTAAAAGTACTTAAAAATAGCAGTCAATATGCAATCTCCGTGGGATACCTTGGTTTTCTTAAGTGGCCTTCTCCTTGCCTTACATGGCATTGAGATAAGGAAGCTTCATTTTGCACCACCACTGATGAATAATAATATCCACTACAGGACACAATTTAAGGCAGCAATTTTTTTATTTAAAAAAAAAAAGCTCAGTGATAAACCAGGGCCAAAGCTAGGTTTGAAGAGGCATGAGCAAAATGCCTTCTGTGTCTCCCTTCTCATGTTGCTGGATCCCTCAGGCATATCTGAAAATGGATGGGCAGTCGCAAGGATGGTTGAGAGCTGGCATTTAAATTTCTAGCAATGCTCCGAAGTGCCCAACATTATGTTAGTCCAGAATGTCCTGGAAAGTGTAAATGGCAGCCGACAAACCCAGCAACTGGTGTTAGGATACCAGGTCTTGATTCCAGACTTGGCTAAGACATCTGAACCATTAGCCCCATGATACATTGTAGGAATCACAAATTGTAAGCTTTTGTTTTCAAAGCAGCAGCATCAAGCAAATTATGATGAAAGACATCTGCATTGAAGTCTTCCCACAGAAGGAACAATTTGCATAAATTCACCCTAGACTTGCAATATCCAACATTTCACCTCATCCTTATCGTTATTTATGTTGACAGCACAGTAAGGCGGATGAATGTAAACTTGAAGTTCCATCACAGGCTCGTGACAGATTACATTAACGTATTCTCCTGAGTGATGAAACACAACACATGCTCCATTCTGAAATAGACCTTAAGGACTTAAATGTTATGTTTGAAGTAGAGCTGAAACGAAGTTTTGCTCAAATTTGAAATTTGCCAACATTTCAGAGTTTGAATTCTGAAAAATTCCCAAGTGCTCAGTTCTGAGGGACACTTAAATTTGCAATCCTGTAAATCTCATTGAAGGAAATGTAGTGCTTTTACAACTACCACCACATCAAAAACTATCCATGAGAGGACTGTGTGTGGAGCGGGGAGGACTGGGTCAACATGCATTCAGATTTCTGTGTACAAACTGAGTTTGGAGAATATGCTTCAGGATCCCCCAGCCCCAGAGTTTGTTTCAGAGCTAATTCAAACTTGCTGACTTTGGGAGTGCCTATAAAATATTTACCCAACTCATTTCAATGGCTTAACAAGTGATTAAAAGCAAGCAGTATGTATGTTGCCACATATGAAGTTATGTGTAATTTCCCAAAGGCCACTGTAGGGTGTCTGTAAGTCAAAATTAGACACAATTTAAGTAAAAGTAACCTCTTCCTTCTCCATCTTCAAGTTTTCTCAAATACGGTAAATAGTAAAGGATGTCAAGAGCTGAAAAAGCAAATTAGGAACTATTGCCTTTCAGTAACATAGAGAAAATTTGCATTAGCATGCCAGTAAATTAAATTCTGTTTTATATCCAGCTGCCTTCACTGAAACTTAGTTTTCTTATAGTGTCTCATGGGTCACATTTATGTACTCAGTAGTGTATAACTAATTTCTAAAGATAATCTGAGATCCATGATTAATTTAACTGTGCTTAATGCCCCCTATTTATGCATGCTGTTAGAAAACCACTGTTTATCCCATTTCTAAAATGTTGTATGCCTTAAGAAAAGAGACACAATTACGCATCTGTAAAGTGGTTGTAGCACTTGTGTGCTATAAGCAAAATTAACTCTTACCGTTGCCAACTCTCAAAACATATTTAAAAGTAAATGCACATACTGAGGTTGCAATCTTATGCACACTTACCTGAGAGTAATCCCCAACATGCACAAAATGGGCTTCCTTCTGAGCAAAGATATATAGGATTGTGCTACTGTTATTTTCACACTGATACAGCATGGGGTTGTACCAGCGTAAATGATAAACTATTGACAGAGTAGAATTTCCTTTTGGAAAGGCTTAATTTACAAATTATGCTTCAGTAGGTTTTACAGGGCTGTGCCTATTTCATGGTTATGTGCAATTGCAGGAAAAGCTCAAAACTGACACTACAGAATCCAGCATCCTGATGATGTCATCTTTACCTTTTTAATTAAACCCCCCCCATCACCTTGTGATGGTGGCAGTGTTTAACATCAACTCCTGGGTGTAACTGCCTCCCGCCCAAAGTGTAAGTGCTTATAAGCAAATATGGCTTCCTTGTGTTTCTGTTTCTGTTGTCATTTTGACAAGATATGTATTGTTCACTCTGCTCTATGTACAATCATTTGTATTACATGTATTAGTTTGATAAATGGAAGGGTTTGAATGAAAATTCAGAACTAGGTTAGTATGATTTATTTTCCACTACACTTCACCTCATGCCTCCTACCGTCTCAGTTCAGTTCCTGCATCTGATTAATACAGCTGTTGTCAATGAAAACCTATGCCATAATAAGGCCTATTTTGTTGTTTTACTGTTCCTGTTGAAGATGGAGCCACACACTAATTCTGTTCCCTTCTCCATCCATTCAGTATATACATGAGAGAATGAGCAAACGAGAACAATCGCAGCACAGAACATGTAACTCAAGGTTGTTTATGCCTAGTAATTCCTGCCCTCCAAAACCTTGGGCAAAGGCCTTGGCTAGACCTGATAGCCAATCCCCTTTTAACTGTAGAGGAGGAGTGGTAAACCTGTGACCCTACAGATGTTGTTTGACTCCAGGGTCCATCAACCCAAAACAGTGTGGCCACTTGTCAGGGATGATGGGAGTTCAGTACAGCAACATTTAGAGGGTCACAGATTCCCCATCATTGCCCTAAAGTATATCCATCCCCAGCACATCAGAGAATCCAGCTGGTCCCTTGCCTGTGCTCACACACACCAGACAATGGAAACTGGGACCAGCCTGGGCCAGGAAGTCTGCATGCTCTGGAGACTTAATGGAGCCTTGCAGGATTTTATGAGAATAAAGGCATTTCTTTAGGGATGAATATTCAATTTCCTGCTACAAGATATTTTTAGGACTACTCTGCTTTTGCATTTGCATTATCATTTCACTACATTTTAAGCAACTGATGTTCATTGCCTGGAAAGGCATCTGATAAATTTTAGGATAAATAGATTTACTGGCAGGAGTCATGGAGTTTGCCTCCGAGATAAAGTCCTTGCTTTTCCAAGGTACCTGCAAGAGGGTTGGATCAAGTGCATAGGGTGCTCCTTGTGGGCTCAATAACATTGTGACAGAGTGCTTAATCAGCATGTGTGCAGCACTTATCTCAGCTGAGTTCCATCATCTTCCACTGAACCATTAGTGGTAGAATTAACAAGTCAGAGTTCAAATTTTCTGCCCCACTATGATTGGCTCCCACATTTCATTGGTATCATCTGAAATTATATATCACAATGGGTAATTTCCATCATGCAGACACCAAGAGAAGTGGAATGTTGTCTTAAGTAGTACCTCTATCTTCTGGGCAACCCATGTTGATGCAGAAGTTCAGGCTTTGCTGCTACAACATGGGAGATGACAAGAGGGAAACACTTTAAAAATTACCTCCAAACTGGGGCAAATTATGAGTAATTATGGGTTGAATAGTGTAGGACCAGGACCTGGGAGACTATGGTTGACATGCAAATGAGCACTCCTGAACGTCATCCTCTGTTTGTGTCCCAGTGACTGCTTATTTCACAGAAGCAGGCAAAACTGCATTGGATAAATATGTCAGTGTCAGGACAAACGGCCAACACTTTTGCTTCTTTACAGGCATCACAGCTCTTGTCACAGAAAGATATTAAAGGTGGTATATCAAGACCATCCCTCTTCCCCTACTGAGCAGGATCTCTACAATGCCATAGCCGACAGCCCTCCAAGTGAAGGATCCAAGATCCACAGTATCCCAAAAAAAAAGAACAAGTTTCCATTCATCTGTTCCCCTCTCCTACATTTTATGGCCCAACCTGGCCCAATGCAAATGTGAACCTAAGAATGTTGATTCTCCCTGTCTCTGAGCTCTGCGTTTGGAAAGAATTTGAAGGACACCTATCAAACCACCCCACTATGACAGGACATCTGGATCAGATCATCAAAACTGCAATTTGCCACACGGAGAACTCAGGACAAAACAAGATGCCTTACGCCCAGCATTCTGCTGGCTGGGAAAGGAATATTATCATCATTTCATCACTGGGGCAAAACGGGATTTCAATTTGCTATGATGAGGTGACATTTCTAGATTGCAGCACGATGGCAAGTGTCTCACCTGACCCCAGCTGCCCACAACCAAAACTCTTATGTTTACCTGCTTTGGTCCCAGTTGGCAGCAAACAGAACCAGGATCTTCCTGCCGTAGTGATCAAGGTTAGCCAGTCCTCCTGGGAAGCCATCCTTGAGTGCCTGCTTGATGCCTGGGTCTGTGGCTTTGAAGCTCTTGAACATATCGAGGTTCTGCTGGCGGTACTCAAAGTACTGGGCCAACAAGCGAAACGCCTCGAAATGCTGGAACTTCCTGGCCCGAAGGAAGCGGAGAATGAAGGCGTCGTCCGTGCGCAGAAAGCCAATGTCTGGCCGGGTGATGACCATGTCCCGCACCTCTTGGATGTCCTGGTGCAGGGTGTCCGGGTTTTCGTTCAGTTCTAGCCGGGCTTTCTCCAGCGTCTTTGGGGACAGGCCTGCCTGCAAATGAGTCATTGTGCCACTCCGTCCAATACTCCTCTTAAGTAAAAAGGGAGACAGCCCCTAATGCCACAAAGTCTGTTCTTCTTCTTTCCAAAAAAAGAGAGGGGGGGAGTTCCTTATTTCCCTTTCCAGAACCGGCAAGTTTGGTGCTCCTTTGCCTCACAGCATGAATCTCTCCGAAGCAAATACCCTGATGTCGTCCAGTGTGCACAACCCGCTCAGCTCCTGTTTCCCCACGGTGGCCCGTTCACAGTAACTCCACTCAGCTGCTGCTTTTCTTCCTCGCCCTCAAATTCCCACCCTTCCCACACCCACTAACAGCTCGAAGCTGCAGTATAACTATACCTTGCATATAACCGAACCCCCAATTGCTATCCTTCCACTGCAATTGCTTGTTGATTGACAGAAATAATGGCTTTGGCACGGCCCAAGTAGATGGAGCTGGTATTCTTTATAGCCTGGCTCCGGCAATGGTGCTCCCTGCCTCCCTCCCACACAATATTGTCCTTTGGGTTAACTAGTCATGTTGGCTGGATCACCAGATTCCCTGATCAGCAGGTACTGTTAAAGCAACATGATGGCAGAGAGGAAGGCCAAACAGCCGCTATACAGTGACTTTCCCCAAGCTGGGGGCGATCAGTACTGGATATCTCTCTCCTCCCCCTCCCCCCCCCCACCACTGTCTTCAGATATTCCCACCTCACTCCTCTGTGCAAACCAGTGATCTCACCCTTGGTCCTGGTGCAATGGAGATAGCAAGAAGAGCTGTATCAATAAATCAGGTGGCAATGCAATGTTTCCACCAGGGACTTCCTCCCTCCCTCCCGCAAAATAAGAAACTCAGATCCTCGTGGATTTAGAAGTCAGTGCGTGACAGGGTGCTAAGGGCATGCAACTGGTCTGCTGAAGGGTGCTTCTTTAAAAAAAAATAAAAACCCGAGGTTCTTATTTGCACCCCCACCCCACCCCTTTTAGCCCATGGAGCTTGGGATGGATTCGCCCTCCCCCCACCCACCCCAGTTCCCCTCCTACGTACACAGTGATCTCATCCACTACCAGCAAGACTGTCGCATGTCCCTCTCGCTCGCTCCCAGGTCTTCTCAGGCAGGGGGTAAAAATATCCTCCAGGTCCTTTCCTCCCCACCACCCGCCCCGCTCCCCGCGAGGACAGACAGAGTCGCAGGACAAGAGAGGATTCAGTCGCCTCGCAACAGAACAGCCATCCGCCAGGAGAAAGGCATCCGGGGCGAAAAGGGAACAGCCAAGTAATCCGCACCAGCAAAGCAGGCTGCAAAGCCACACAAGGCAATGCGGCACCTTCCGGCATCCATCAGCTACGGCAGCTCCCTGCCATGGGAAGCAGTGGCGAGGAGCGCGGTCAGACGAGCCAAGGACATGCCCATGTGGGTCTCCTGCTCCTCCTCGCCCTCCTGCCCAGATGCCGGCGCCTTCTGGCCGCAGACAGGGCGCGGAGGCGGGCGGCGATCCTCTTCGGAGGGGCCGATTCGCTGCCGCTGGGGAAAGATGGAGCTGCCGCCTCTTTGTGCTCCTCTGGCGCGAGCCAGCCGGTGGCTTCGGCGGCTGTTTGGCTCTGCCTGGCGCTCGATGCGCCGCTTCGCGAGCAGGTCGACGTCAATCAAGGCTCCCTGGGCGGCAGCCGTCGCTGCTGCTGCTGCTGTCGCCGCGGGAAGTGGCTCCCGATGCAGCCCCCGCCCCCCGCGCGCGCATTGTTATTACCCAGCACGACCCTTCCTCTCGCTCGCTAGTCTTCGGTTTTGTTGGCCGGGAGGAGGAAGCTGAAGGAAGGGCGCGGGGAAGAGGGGCGTTTTCCCAATAAGAGCCCAGCCCCACCAGCCGCCCCGCATCATGCCTCGCTCTCGGCACCTGCTCGGCCAACCCTCCCGGATCTACGCTCGGAATCGGGAACGTAGAAGCCAGATCACAAACACACGCACCCGAAAAAGAAAGCCCCCTGCGCCCCAATGCGCCTTGCCTGTTGCGCTTTTGTGCGCAAAGTGGCGCGGGATGGGTTGCTTCGGGCGGTTGCTTTGGGGCGCTCCCTGGGGCCCGAGGCCCCCAAATATAGGATAGATTATTCGTAGCTATGTAGGTCAAAGGACACGACCCCGAGGGCAAGGGCAGGAAAATGGGCTCAATGCTATATAGGAAGTACTGTAGTGGGAAGTGCCTGGAAGTGTTTCTTGGTTCTCTAGGCCAGGCACATATTTAGGCTTGTCCCCTAAATGTTCCTGGTCAATTAGAGTATTAAAGTGTGGCACCTCCTTCCCAAAGGCCAGGAAGCTTCTATCCAGCTTAGGGAGGGAGGCACAATGCTCACACATGCGATGCCAGGACATCATGGTGTCACAACAGCACCCACCACATCACATCACGGAGGACTGTGGGGGCGGGGTTGCTTTCAAGGTGTCAAATCACAGCTAAATATGTTGTGTCCAACCATATGATGATCATTGATTGACAGGTGCAGTTCAATCTCCACTTGAGGGGAAATCTAGATGATGCTATAGTTGCCCTTGACTCTGTACGTGATGATTGTTGCATAGATCTTTGTATACTGAAAAAGTGGCTTTATATCCTATAAACATGACTGCCATAGCCAAACCAATAACTGGAAATTGGCCTAAAGCGGTGTGTATTCTCCCATGGATTTATCTTCCCTATAAGAAAATGTTTTCAGTAGTGCTTCCATCTTATTAAATAGGGTTTTGCTTCAGTAACTTCCAGTAATATGTGATAAATGGCAAGGGAGGGATCAGGCTATCGGTTCGATCATAAAAAGGTGAGCGGCAGTTGACAGCAGATGATGCGACTCTCATCTGTATTCCTTGAATCATTCTTACCGTGTCATAATTTTTTGGCAGCAAAAAGACATCTTTTGAAATGGCACACTCAAAGCTGGTGGACACCAGTGGCTAATAGTCACAATGGCTGTGTTCTGCTGCCACAGCTGAACTCAGTTCCTTCTGGCAGGCTTCCCACTGACATCTGGTTGACCTTTGTGAGAACAGGATGCTGGACTAGATGGGCTATTGGCCTGGTGCAGCAAGGCTCTTCTTACTTTCTTACAATAATATTGGCATGGTGGTTCTGGATTTCACACATTTATCCCATGTTAGTTATCTGCCAATAACTCTTACAGGGAAGAAGTATCACACTCCAGGGCACTCACTGTAGGGTCAAAATCTGCCCACCCTTGGCAATAGTTCCCCAGCCTCCAGTGAGGTACACCTGACAAGGTACCAGCAAGTGTTTCTGTGCATAGGAGATGCATCTCACCTGAGGGGTTCTTCACAGTATTCACATCTTTCTACTCCATAAATCCCTGTGCTTGTATACTGTATATACCCAACGTACAGTTCTTCTCTTACATGGATATATGGCTACTAAACCAAGACTTTGTGGTACACAAAGACTGAGGGCTTGTCACAGGAGGATGGGTGCTCTTCATACATGCACATTTTTCAAAGCATCCATGTGGGATTGTTAATACCAACAGGTTTTTCTCCTTTTATTGCAGATACACACTTTCCCGGAAAAATCCAATAATTTGAAGAATACATTTTGCTAACAACCTGTTCATAGTATCTATAGAAATGCTATATTGTCTACAAATAAGAAGAGAGAGAGAGAGAGTGTATGATGAATCTGCACCTTCTGAAACCCCTATATCGTGGGATAAGACAACAAATAGGTTTTTCAATCTGGACACAGGTTAGTTCTGTATCAAAGGAAATAGTCTCCAGTAAATATGTATCTCCAAATGTCACCAGGTTTCTCTGACCTTTACATGTGCATCTCCAATATAATTCAGATGCAGCTGCCTGTCATTTTTGTGTCTGGTGGCCAAGACGCTAAACTGTTTCATGATATTTAACTCTGTCCCTTGAAATATGAAGCCATAAACAGGGAGTCTCAGCATATCATTTTGATTAATCACTTGGATGAGTTTCATAGCAAAAATTCACTTATGGAATATTTATTCCTTTCCCCCCTCTAAGACAGATCCCAAAGCTCCTCCAAATGCACTGTATGTGCATAGAAAAGGTCTAGATGGAATTAAGAAACCAAAGAATATGCCAGTCTTTATGTGATATTCTCAAGGACTTTCATTAAATTATAGAACTGAAGCACTGTAAACATTACTTGATTTGCTGATTTGACATGCATGGCAAAAAAAGGAGGAATAAAAGTGATATATAATTTTAATTTATGTTTGCAAGACTCCTGCACACACACACACACACACACACACACGTGCAAACATTCTTATTATGTTATTCTGAACCTCAAGAGAAAGTTGGCTGCATGTGATGACTCAGTCTGACTAGCTGATTTGTACAATTTGTTTGGCTATATTTCCACTCAGAATTATATTTGCTGCTGCATCTCTTCACCCAGAGCAGTGCTGCTGTGACACTGATAACTTTGTTGTTTTGGAATCAGAATCATCTCCTGCAGTTCACTAACCACCCAGAAATATGAAAATCAACTGATCAAGTTAAACATCAAGTTTAAGAATTGCAAGACAGTTTTGTCTCGAACTTTATAAAATTATAAACAACAAGTTCTTCTGTTATGAGAGAAAGAAAAAATTGTCTACCATGCATAATTTTGTACACCTCTGTGATAACTCCTCTTAAGCTAACTATACAAGGTGTATACCATGCAGCTGGTTTTCATCTTTACTTAATTACAGGTGTGGGAAGAGGGATTGTTGTTGGGACTGCGGCACATGGGGAGAGGGCGGTTATCCATTCCCATCCCCAGCCATGATCCTCATCCCCCCTCCCCCACAAATAAAAAAAATTCCCCTGCATGGCTATGAGACTACCAGGCTGGCAAATGCCATTCTGTAAGTTTGGTGATTTTACCTTTAAAATCCTTATTGGGTCCGATATTAGCCAGTAGTGATGTATGGAAGTGAGAGCTGGACCATAAGGAAGGCTGATCGCCGAAGAATTGATGCTTTTGAATTATGGTGTTGGAGGAGACTCTTGAGAGTCCCATGGACTGCAAGAAGATCAAACCTCTCCATTCTTAAGGAAATCAGCCTGGGTCTCACTGGAAGGACAGATTGTGAAGCTGAGGCTCCAATACTTTGGCCACCTCATGAGAAGACTCCCTGGAAAAGACCCTGATGTTGGGAAAGATGGAGGGCACAAGGAGAAGGGGACAACAGAGGACGAGATGGTTGGACAGTGTTCTCGAAGCTACCAGCATGAGTTTGACCAAACTGCGGGAAGCAGTCTGGTCCATGGGGTCACGAAGAGTCGGACATGACTAAATGACTAAACAACTAAACAACAGCAACAACAATTAGGCTAACTAGCCTAAAATCCATGGGCCTAATTCCATATTAACAAAGTCAGTGAAGTTTCCACTGAATAACAGCAAATGTTACAGTCCAAATATTACACAAGGAAAGCGGGAATAAAAACACAGTGTGTGTTAAACAAAAAAGGAAATGTTCATTCGTTGCAGTTAGCTTGGAAATGAATGCTCTCAGGCAGCTGTTTTGGACTACAAGTCCCACTGCAGTCAACCTTTAGCTGCAGCTGGTGGAAGTTGGGGCTCAGCACCATCTACAGTTTGCTATGGGGATGGAGACTGCTCTAGGGTAGAAGAGGCTTTCAGAGAGGTTAATTGGGAATTCCCTCCCGCCTCTAGTAATACAGTATTGACATCTTGCTGAAAGGCACAATGAGAAACTATTGAACTTTGCAGTTGTGGAAAGTGAAACTGAAAACTAAAGCTCTATCAATATTTGATTTATGTTTTGCGCTGCTGGTGAGGAAAGTGCGCCAGAGGTGCCCCTCTGCCTGCTGGCTTCTCTATTATTCATTGCGATGCATCACCAGAAAACACATGGAAAAATGGCCGCTGTTTTAAAATACTGTTTGAGAGGATGCTCGGTTATGCTGACAGGTCTAGACTTATTGGGGGTTGTGCAATGCAGGGGTCAGCAAA